TGGTAATTTGCATAAATCAAATGTCTGTCTTGATATTTGAGTGGTTTCGGAAAAATAAGAAACATTGTTGTTGATGATATCTCCGTGTTCAATTCTATTTTCTTACTCCGAACTGTTCTCTTGTAAATTAAACAATTTTTTCTCTGTCAGTAGATAAGATAAAGTGGAAATTAAATTATACTGGCAAATTTAGACTTGGGGTTGGANTTATTGAGCGTGAGGCCAATTTTTCATGTTAAAATATAGCAATAACAATTTTTTAAAAAAGTATATACATGAACTAGGTTTTTTTGGCTCAAGTTTAATCGAAAGTTATAAACAAACTTTTATATTAGAATTTTATCTTGGGAACCTAACTATGCTTGCTTGATAACTAAAGGAATTGATTCTTTGCCACAAATTCAGTTTTTGTAAAACCTATATCTTTGCAACCTGATGATGTAAACCTTTAATATTTTACATTTACATTATTTGATCTAATAGCATTCATAGTTTGAAATATTAAAGGTCTACGACATTTGATTACAACGATTTTGAAATTAGCAAATCAGAGTTTGTGGCAAAAACTCAATTCCTTTCCCTAGAAAAGTCAATCAACAGAACTAAGAATTTCAAAACCAAACTATAAAGAACACTGCACCTGTGGTTCTTACCGAGTTATAAAACCAACATTTGAGTCAACTGAGCTATGAACAGGGGGGATGATAGTTCTCTACCTGATGCGCTGTTTACTAATATTGATATACTAAAGGTTGGGCCAGAATCAACTTATAATAAACAAATACGCTCTCGGTATAGTTTATGGCCTATAATATTAATAAAGGATTAGCGTACATCATCACTCTATACACTATAGCCTCGTTGGTTATGAATGATCAGACTAATAAAAACCAAGTCCCAAACATTTTTCATATATATATATATATATATATATATATATATATATTTATATATATATATATATATATTTATATGAAAATACGTTATAAGTATACTGATTTGGCCCAAACATTCAGTGTTAAGAGCAATATTTAAAAAATAGTTTGGAAAAAAACTGTTTTATTAGAACCAGTGAATTTGTCCAAAATAAGTGATCACTCCCTTTTTATATTTGGAAAAATGCTGTGTCGTTGTTTTAGAATAAAATATGAAGCATAAAAGTCTAATGGTTTCAAGTTCCTCGTCTTGTGGCCTAGACGTGTCAATGGAGAGAATACAAAACATTCTTTTCTTCTAATTATTACAAAGAGATTTTAGAAACAATAAATATTTAGTTGCTCGGTAGATTCTATTTTAATGTAATTTCAATATCTTTTTACTTTGCTGTACAACTCAGAAACGTTTTAACCAGTTCATATTCAAAATTTTGATAAGGAAAATTTTAAAATGTGTTCATAATAATTGCAAATATATTTGCTGCGCGTATTCTTACTTACACTACGTTAGACACTGTTATGTTAGAATTCTTTAATACTTTGTCCAAATTTTATAAACTATTTTATAATAGATTTTAAAAATACTAAAATCAAGCACAGAATGACAGGAAATGTGAAAACTTTTATCTTCATCGGAAAATGGATCAAGAATGATTTTATTTTAAGTATTGAGATCTTAAAAATAAAAAAGAAAGCTTAGAAAGATAGCCAGGACCTCTCTGAGGCCCTTTTTCATCAATAAGTACATATAAAATTTAAACAAAACTTAATGAAACAAAAATATAATTTTAGAACTAAAGGAAAGCAAAGAGAGGGGAAGCGATGTAAAAGATTGCAAAGGAGTAGATGGAGAAAAGGGTATTGAAGAATAGAGAGTAAACAAGAAGAAAGGAATGATAGTTTATAGTGTGTAATATGAAAAAATAAATAAACGAACAGCTGTTTACATTGTATAATGTGTATTTATGTAAAAAATAAGAACGGAACGGAAGCTTATAGTGTGTTAATGTGTATTTGTAGCAAATATGGTACGAATCCCCATATTTGTTAACCTGAGCATACCTAGATAAACATGAGCTAAGTAACATAATTAAAATATGCATTGTGACTAGATTAACTACGTCCATGTTAATCTTCCAAATACTTACATTCAACTTAAATTACGTTGTAAACATGTGTGGAGATAGCTTAAATACGTATTTTCTTGTCACATAAGACGGACGTATAAATAATATTATCAATTTTATCTGAAAAATTATTAAATTCAAATAATAATAGAAGCAAGTCTAAGTTAATTAGGCTCCTCTGGGATATCGTAGTTTTCAGATTGGTTACGTATTTGCTGCTGAATATGATCTGTTTGAACCTACGATTTTTATACAAAATTTTATATATATGCATTTTTGTAAAATTTGACACAGTTTTATATAAATTTCTTGAGACAGGAACATCAGATAGAACTCTTAAAAGAGTGATTTTTGTATTTAAAGATTATTTACAGGTTTACCCAGAGTGGATTAGATTTTAATGACTATATTTTTAACCCATTAAATTGGAAAATCTGAATCTAAACTTTAATAATATTTATCAATGTCAACTTAAAAAGTTTTGAATAAACAGTGAAAAGTTTACAGCTGCAGAAAACCTTAAACAAGGCCGATACATTAAGAATGCATTAATTCCGTACAGTCGTCTCTTGTGTTTCATCCTTTGTGGGTATCCCTGTATTACTAAGCTTTTCTAAAGCTGATTTATAAAACATTTCTTTTATTCATGAATGGTCATTATGCATAATGAAAGGGTCTCGTCTATTCTTTTAGTTTTTATCAAATATTCATTCATTAAAACAAAAGTTTTCTGCTGTACTATGAATGAGAATATTTTCAAGGGAAAATCAAAGGAACTGAGCTTTTGTCACAAACTCTAATTTTTAATCCCTATATCTTTGCCATCTGATGATTTAAACCTTAGATATTTAAATCTTAGATAATTTGATCGAACAGAATCCAAAGTTTTAAATATCAAAGGTCTTTGATATCGGGTTGCACAGATATGGGATTACAATATTAGGTTTTGTCACAAAAATTTATTTTCTTTGGCCTTCACATTCGTCATTATAATTATAAAAGTTTTAAGTTGCCATTAGAGTCTTTTTTAATATTTTTTTTGACATCCTTTTCTTGTTGTTGATAGGAATAGAGTTTACTGAATCATATTTCTCTTTATATTTATGTCCGCGTCTGGATCTGGCCATATTGTTTATAAAGTTTTGATGAATGTTAGCTGCAGTATTTATTAATGTTTTTACTTCTTGTGAGGTTTGAGAGAACAAACTTATCTTCCATTACTTTACGATCTTAACACTTGTATTTGACCATTTAGCAATGAGAACATATTTAACACTATTGATTTTAGAATTATGGTTAAGGGATACTAGCTTAGAACGTTCCTTGATCACAGTAAGCTAGGGGTCCTGGGACCGACTTTAATAAAGGAATTGAGTTTTTACCACGAACTCTAATTTTATAATCTCTATATCTATGCAGCCTGATGGTGTAAAGATATGATATGTTAAACTTAGAATATTTGATCTAACGGAATTCAAAGTTTGAAATATCTAAGATCCACAATATTTGGTTTTAAAGATATAGGGCTTAGAATATTAGAGTTTGTTACAAGAACTCAATTCCTTTGAGTTACGTTGCTAAATTACCAAATGCCGGTTTAAATTTGAACCAACGATTCAATGTGAAAGATTAAGGAGATTTAGTAAGGGTTAGAATCTGTGATTCAAATTTGAACCGGATCGTTGTTTGTTTATGTGATTTGAAAACACCAGCAGAAGTTGGATAAAGTAGTTTGTAAATATTGGTTTAATTGAGGCTCGAACAGAGGGTGGAGGAAAGGCTTATAAGGAAAGAGAGAGAGGATACTAACCAACTAATTTTGACTTTTTATATTTCTTTTAATACTCAATTATAAGAGGGAGAGGATATGTTTGAGGAAATAAGGATTATGGACCAGGCATAGGAGCTAGATTGTCAGAAAAATTAGACGGTTTCGGAGAAAGAGATTGAGAGAGGCTGTGAAAGGTTAAGACTGAAAGGAATTAGAAAAACATGAGACTCAGATTGGAGAAAGGCTATGAGAAAAGATGAAAGGTACAAGATGGGAGATTTTGAAAAGTGGTTAGATCCATTTTCAAGGGGGGGGGCGAAGTAAACTTTCGTTTTTCAAGTGTTCTAGGCATTAGTTTCAAGAGGGGTGTGTTTTATTGTCAAGTTGTGCCATAATTCCTTTCGATCGATTACAACCTGAATTCGTCAAGAAGGATAAACTAAAAGATGTCCTTAACTCCCTATAAAAACTGTTAACTCTCCCAGTTCTATGGACTGACCCTAGCATATGAATATATTCTCAATTTCATGTTTTTGTCTCTATTTATGGTTGCTTGAGAGGCAGGGGCGTACACAGGGTTTTTTAAAAGAGGGGGACTTAATCTTGATAACCCGTTTCCCCCCTGGGAGCCGCGTAGTTTCACTTGTCTAGGGGGGCTCAGCCCTTATAACCCCCCCCCTCTTTACGCCCATGGTGATAAATGGGCAATCTTGCGTCAGATGAGTTTATGCATGGTTGTTTCTTTAAACACAGATTTAAACTATTTTGTTTTTGTTTCGTTTTGTTTTTTGTTGTTTCTTGTTTTTGTTGGCTAATACTTTTTAAAATCACTATTTCCAAAAAAAATTTCAGGTAAATCTAAAAGCAATGTCAATCAAAAAATTTAAAAAATGAAAACTTGGGAAAACATACGAGTATTTATATTTATTCAAATATCAAAAAACTATTTTTTTTCTCTAAACATTATTTTAAACAAAATTAACTAATTATATATTTTATCACAGTTTTTTATCAATTTAAAATATTTTAAAAAATTCTGAAATTAACTTTAAAATAATAGCTGCATTAATTGCATTTGCATTTTTTAGAATTCTTTATAAAATCGTGAATATATTTTAAAAGGCGATCTTTAAAAAAAACATTAATTTCTAATTAAAATTATCAATTTTCTTTATAGAAAAACCAAAATCACAGAATTAAAATGTAATTGATTTCAATTTTCCTCTGTGAAATAACTTTTTGGCACAAATTATATGTAATTTCTGAGATTTTTGTCACAAAACTATTTTGATATTTTGATCTTCATAAAGGATCTCTGAGTACTCTATAAATTCTAATTTCCAACTTGATGTCGTGGGCCTTTTATATTTCAAAACTATGAATGATGCTGAAGCAAACGGCTAAAGTTTGACATTTCATGGCTTTTCACCATCAAGTCGAAAAGCCTAGTACCGTTGTAAATAGGGCATTCCCATCTTTACTTGAAATTACGCTTACAGTCCCTTTAAGAATTATTTAAAGAGACAATGCAGGATTTGTATGCTCAATAATACATCTTCTGCAGTTTCCTCTGACCACCCTACACCCCTGAATAGTTACCCCGCCCACATCTTGGATATTCAGCTGCTGGAGGCCCCTGCAGTAGTAGGACAGGGTTGCCACGCCCCTATCCGTAACCTGAGTACACCCCTTCACACTTAGTTTCTTCAGGTTTGGACAGTTTTCAGACAAACTATGAAGTCCTCCATCCGATATATTGCATTTACCTAAATACAGAGATAAGAAACTGATTTATTTCTTAAATATGTAAAAAATACGAAATAATATTTCAAGAGAAAACATACAAAACATCTTAATTATAGGTTGTGGGAATATTTCCCCCATTAAAAAAAAATAAAGTGTTTATCATTACATTTCTTTGTGGACGTTTTTTCTGATTTCTATCAAAAATTATACTAATTATATCTAGAGATCTAAGTCTAGCACAAGAACTAGATAAACCTACCAATATCTAGAGATCTAAGTCTAGAACAAGATCTAGATAAACCTACCAATATCTAGAGATCTAAGTCTAGTACAAGATCTAGATAAACCTACCAATATCTAGAGATCTAAGTCTAGTACAAGATCTAGATAAACCTACCTATATCTAGAGATCTAAGTCTAATACAAGATCTAGAAACCTACCTATATCTAGAGATCTAAGTCTAGTACAAGATCTAGATAAACCTACCTATATCTAGAGATCTAAGTCTAGTACAAGATCTAGATAAACCTACCAATATATAGAGATCTAAGTCTAGTACAAGATCAGATAAACCTACCAATATCTAGAGATCTAAGTCTAGCACAAGATCTAGATAAACCTACCTATATCTAGAGATCTAAGTCTAGTACAAGATCTAGATAAACCTACCTATATCTAGAGATCTAAGTCTAATACAAGATCTAGATAAACCTACCTATATCTAGAGATCTAAGTCTAATACAAGATCTAAAAACCTACCTATATCTAAAGATCTAAGTCTAGTACACGATCTAGATAACCATTCTATAGATGAGTCTGACACTAAGCCACAACCTCTCAAGTTCAAATATCTAAATATTAGATCAAATTAACAATACATTAGAAAGTATTTGAACTAAGTAGACTGAGTTGAACCACTTGAATTGGCGAAACATGGTTAAACTATTTCATAATATTTGGCCCAAGAAGTTAAATCTTTGTTAATCTTGAAAATATATTTTCTGTTTGAAAAAATAAATCTTAACATTCTCCATATTAATTGCAGTTACAAATTTTGTAAAAATAAATATTCAAATAATAGTTTTAAATCTGCAGGAAGCCGTTCCATTAACATTTTCCACGGGGGTTTTAATGTTGGTGGAGGGGGGGGGGGGGGTGTAGTTCAATATTCTTATTTATTTCTTTACCTAAGTCTGTAACAATGTCTAGCTAGGTTTCTAACTCCGTTATCTGAGATAAGTTCACATTTAGCCAGGGACAGATATCTCAGGGCTGGGCCTAACCGGCCTAGCTCACTCAAACTCACATCAGTCAACTTAATACAAAATATACTTTTAAAGGGACTGTAAGTGTAATTTGAGTTGTCTTTCCATTCAAAGATTACAATGCCTGATTTACATTGGTACCCTTTGAAACCTTAATCTGGTATAAGATATGGAAAAGATCGTCGTTTTCCTGATCCGAAAAGTGTTTTATTCATATAATTTCTCCATTGCTTCTTATAAACAAGAATTGCGCAAGAAACTTTTGCAGAGAAACTTCAAATGAAAAAAACAGTTAAAAAAATCACATGGATATCTAATTCATACTTGATTAACAGCTTTTAATTTTAACCCCATATTGGCTGGGGGGTCTCAATCTATGCAAAGTGTTTAAGTGGGCGTGCCCCCCCCCCCCCAATAGAAAAAGGCCTTAGAGTAAAGGTATAGGGTTGCTATGCATGTTCATAGCCCAAGCTTTCAAGGCCAGCTCATTGAAAAATAGATCGCATTACCTCATACAATTTGGATGCGAACTGCGAGTAAAAATTTAAAAAAAATGTTTAGAAAAGTATTTTGACAAACTTTAAGTTGTCTCAGCTTTAATTTTTCGAGAGCTTTTAAAAAATGTATTTTTGTTATCTGTAGCTTTAATCATAAAAAACTTTATGGGCTATTTTAATTTTTTTAAACTCGGATTATGGCCTATTTACCAGCCTTTACCCTATTCATTAAATGTCAAAAAATGTCAAGGTATGATAGTTGTCAAAAAAAGAGTGATAAGTCAAAAAAAGGCAAGGTGATAGTTTCAAAAATGAGAGTGCTATAGGGCAAAAAATGCATGGTGATAGTTTCAAAAATAAGAGTGCTAGGGCAAAAATGTCAAGGTGTGATAGTGTTTGCTAGGGCAAAAAAATGTCAAGGTGTGATAGTTTCAAAAATGAGAGTGCTAGGGCAAAAAATGTTTAGGTGTGATAGTGTCAAAAATGAGAGTGCTAGGGCAAAAAAATGTCAAGGTGTGATAGTGTCAAAAATGAGAGTGCTAGGGCAAAAAAATGTCAAGGTGTGATAGTTTCAAAAATGAGAGTGCTAGGGCAAAAAATGTTTAGGTGTGATAGTGTGAAAAATGTGTGCTATAGGGCAGAAATTAACAGATCCCGCCTGTTTGAGTGACTGTTCTAAATCGGGTATTTAATTAAATATTTCGTTGTTTTGCGGCTTAAACAGATCATGCTATTTTGTTCAAAACGTTTTCTAAAAATACCTTTATACAATCTGACACTGATAATTCTCTGAGGAGTAGACAGTAGGAGGAGACAGATTTTATTCCAACATCTGAACATTTAATTTATTTAATTTCTAAAGAATTGTGAAATTATTTCTGAAAGAGTGCTAAATAATTTCTCAATACACATATATTCTAAATTGTTTTTAAATTACTTTGAACTTTATTGGGAATTAGAAGTCATAGAATATTTACTTTAAAAAGATTATTGACCTATTTGAAAATCTGCAAACTACCCTAATTTTTGGAATCAGAATTACAACCAATTAACAATAAACTGTACAGTCATAATGTGTCCCTACGATTAGGGCCAGAATAATGTAAAAATTTATAACAAAAAAATTTCGCTTTTGATTCGTTTTTTTTTGCATATATTTTTCCTCCAGGTCCAAATTTGGCATGGATGGGTGTAAGAAAAGCAAATGTTTAGACATTTTATAAATATAAAACTTCTCAGATTGTGGAACCTTCAGAAGTCCAAAAACCTCAAAAACGAAGAAAAACGATTAACAACCCTAAATCTGGTACACCCTGCGGAAAACAAGAATGTGCACTATGATGTGGACACCCTGTAGATTATAAGAATATGCACTTTAATGCTGGATATCACCCTGTAGAAAAAAAGAATATTTCCCTATACCTGTAATCAATGAACATCTCCTAAGGAAAAGGAACTGAAGCTGAGGACAGCTCTCCACCACCAACCTCAAGCTGAGGTCATCCAACCTCAAACAATCCGACATATCCAGGTAGGTGAGTGGAAGCCTAGGGGTGGAGGAGGAAGGGGAGATGGGCAAGGGAACGCCTACCCCAGACACTAGCAAGCAGCCTGATACATCCAGATGATCTAGTTCTTCACATCTGCTGGTTAAATCTACAATATTATAGCTTTAGTAAAATGTTTAGGTATTTTTAAACATTAAAAAGGAATGTCTGACTAGGTATGATAGTTATGCTGAGAATGCAGTATTGTACAGACTTTTATTCATTTGAGACCTGTAAAAACAAAACGTCTCAAATAAATCCTAAAAAAATTCTCTAAAATAATGCATTCTCAACTCATCTACCATATCTACACTGTAAACTTATTACATGTCCTGATTAGTCCAGTGAGCCAAAAACCATTATCATTTTGTAAATTTTTTGTATTGATAAATTTACTTTTTGTTGGAATACTTATTTTTGATATTTATGTATCTTAATTTAAGGGTATTTTTGACAAATTTTTACTGAAAGAGATAAAAATAGAACTGAAAATAGTCAGATAAAGACAGGATGCATTTCGCTTAAGTTTACGTGAAAAGAGACCACATCAAGGTTATAATGCAAGGAAAGTTAATTCCACTTGCGTATATATTGAAACCAGTTCTCTCTGGGCGGAGTTTGTAAACAAGAATAGAAGCATCAGTTTTAGCATTAGATTTTGATAATTTTGAAAATTCACAGAAATGTCTTATGACCAGAATATTTCATTGATTTTTTTTAAAGATGGATCCCATGTCAGGCTTCGACATCCATTCGACAAACATTGACACTTACAATTTTTTTTGGTTTTGTTTGTAATTATTAAGCGTTGAATATTTGTATAAACTAAAATTAGTTTTATTTTGAAAATAATATTTTCATAAAGATTTAACAATTAAAGAAATACGGAATAAAATTATATTCATGTTATGGAGAAAGTGTTTGACAACATTTGAAAGGGCGTATACGCAAACGTATAGTTTAGCTGGTCTGTATAGAAATATTGAATAATAATAATAAAGATAATTAGACCCAAATCAGGCTCTATATACTCTATACAAACTCACATTGTAAATAGAGTGAAAGTGTATACTATGCTGAACGGTTTAAAGGGACTTTTTTTAAGTGAGTCGTCTTTAAGTAGGTCCGATTCGCGTTGGTACCCATAAATCCTTCATATGAGTAAAATAAGAAAGATATCGTTGTTTTACTATCTTGAAAAATAATTATAAATGGAGGATAAGTTAACAATACGTTGGTAATCCCTTTAAGAGCGTAACAGATAGATTTATGATTTAATAATCACAATTCTGTATCAGATAGATTTATGATTTAATAATCACAATTCTGTATCAGTATAGATTTATGATTTGATAATCACAATTCTGAATCAGATGAATAGGTTAATGAAATTTGTCCTTCAGCATTTAATCATGTGTGTCCGTAGTTAATGCTCAATTTTCTAATGGCCTTAAGACAAAACTGGTTAAAGGAATTATTAAAAATAATTTTATTTCAAGTCATGGCTTGTTGGAGAAATCAATGGTTTAATTAGTAACAAGGAAATTAGTTATTTTTTATTTTTAATTTGAGGAGTTGGTACAATTTACAATCTTAAAAACACGAATTTGAGGAGTTGGTACAATTTACAATCTTAAAAACACGAATTTGAGGAGTTGGTACAATTTACAATCTTAAAAACACGAATTTGAGGAGTTGGTACAATTTACAATCTTAAAAACACGAATTTGAGGAGTTGGTACAATTTACAATCTTAAAAACACGAATTTGAGGAGTTGGTACAATTTACAATCTTAAAAACACGAATTTGAGGAGTTGGTACAATTTACAATCTTAAAAACACGAATTTGAGGAGTTGGTACAATTTACAATCTTAAAAACACGAATTTGAGGAGTTGGTACAATTTACAATCTTAAAAACACGAATTTGAGGAGTTGGTACAATTTACAATCTTAAAAACACGAATTTGAGGAGTTGGTACAATTTACAATCTTAAAAACACGAATTTGAGGAGTTGGTACAATTTACAATCTTAAAAACACGAATTTGAGGAGTTGGTACAATTTACANCTAATTAGAAAGGCCCAGAATTGGGGGGGGTGATTGTATTCTGAGCTGATTCAAAAATTTCTTGTCATGCTTTGTGCATTGATCTGATAATAGATCTATGATTCATAAGGTCTGACCTATTACATTTATTACAGGCATTCTCCTCAGGGCTAAAAGGCCGAATTCTGCAAATTTTATCGGAAATACCAAGTGATGTTAAAAACTTAATTATGCACGAATTTCAAATTTCCAAAAGGAAAATTTAAGTGACATGTACATGCTGTTAAAGATTCACAACCATTGTCCTTGGTTTTGATTTACAAAATGGAGAATTTTACTTTCTCAATATTGAACAACTTTTCTAAAAAGTTTATTTCGGATTTCTAAAGCAAAGAAGAGCAAAAAAGGAGCCCAATTAAAATAAAAAATGAATGTTTAAAATGTAAAAAAAATTAATTTATTTTAAATGGAGTTCTGTACAAAAAGAACTTCTGCCCTGAATTCTATTGCATGAAACCAAATTAAAATTATCAGAAATAAACACTTTCAAATCTCAAATTATTGATCAGATAAAGCTTTCAAAGGTACCGTTGTGAATCGGGCATTTCATGGAGAGTCAGTTGAAATTACGCTTACAATCCATTTAAGATTACGTTCACAATCCCTTTTTGAACTCTCCTGAACCTACCTAGCAAACCTCCATTTGTAATCTCTGTGCACAGTTGAAGATGAAGTTGACCCAAAGCTCTACATCTGCGCGCTATCAGCGCTAAACCTCTGTCGGTCAACCGACTACAACCATTCAGAACTATATTTTTCACCGTACTGGCGATATTAACGCCGTTCTTGCTGATAATTTGAAATATGGAGCTTAATGATCGGTCAACATTGCGGTTCTCTCCAGTCAAACAAATTGATCGCCAGAGATCTGGTTCCCAGGTGAGAAAATAAAACCGTCTTGAAACCCGGGCAGCAAACATCAGATCTTTCGTCGTGAGAAAGGAGAGAACTTTCACAACAAGTTCGTCCGTCAACGTATCAAATACATTTGGCCTCGGACGCAGTGTTGGGTTCGGCCGGAGATAAATCGGTCGATCCAGACGAGTGATTCGAACATTAGGCATAGCTCTAACATTCCATAGATCAATGCTTGAGGCTGTATCAAGGCTGGATAATGAGGTTGTATCGTATTGCTGGTGGGTTGGAGGATGAACAGGTACCCTCGGAGGATCGGAGTGGATGGAAGAATTATCGCTTCTACTGTAGCAACTATCCGAACTCTGGTTTTTCTCCTCCAATCTTTTCAGCTTGCTCCGAACCCTTTCATTGTAGGGGTTCTGTACTGGAGCACAAGGGGAGGAGCGGTTATTTTGGGATCCAAACCGTCTCAGCTCCATGCTTGTGAATCCCTCCTCATTTTTCAGCTCCATGTTTACGAAATCTTCTTGCTGTCTAAGCTCCATGAAAGCCAACTCCTCTCTTTGTCTGAGCTCCTTAAATGAGATCCCCTCCTGCTTATTTTGCTCCCTGGCTCCCTCCGATCCTCTAGGCTTTATGTTTTTGTATCCCTCCTGCTGCAGTTTTTGCTCCCTAAATCCCTCCGATCGTCTCAACTCCACGGTATTGAATCCCTCTTGTTCTTTAATAAAATCCGGTTTATTCCTCCAAATCTGTTTCTCCGAGAATACCGGAGATACTTGATAGTTTCTCCGTTCTCCGACCGTGAGAGCTGAGAACCCCGTCCTGATGGATTCCATCTGAAAGAATATAAATGATAAGTGAGTGAGAATTTGCCGGCCTTCAATCATTTTGAACGGATGGATATGACCTCGCAGTAAAAACTGGGAATTTCCATCCTTCTTGTTTTAAAGGGTGTCTCAGAAAAAGAAGAAAGGAACTTTTGTAAAAAAAAATAATCTTACTTTTATCACAATTAATTTTTTTGCCTTTTTAGATGCCTAAGGTCCAGAGGTGGTTTTTATTTACATTTTTTTTGGCGACCCTGTAATTACCTCCGGGTTACGTAGGGTCAGACAACTTAAGTACAAGGAGCTGTATTGTTGCCACCTCCCCAATTCTTTATTATCTGGACCCAGGGTTTAGACCACCCCGTTCTATCTAATGTTTGTCACCTACCGACCCCGCAACCAACCAATTTTCTAAATCCTTAAATTTTGGGTTTGACTATATTGGGCATTATTATACTGTGTACTCAACGTATATATGAATAAACTTTTATATTTTAATTAGTCACTTTTTTTCAAGCTTTCAAAACAGTAAAGACACGACAAAAATCCTTTACATTTTTTTAAATATCCAACTAACGACAGCATTTAAAAAATACTAACATGTTATTCGAGGTTCGTAATTTAATTCTAGGGATAACACAATTAGGATTTTGTAGATAATTTCGAGCAATATATTCTAAAATTTCTAAATGCTTTCCGGTAGTTCGATATAGTCCTAATTAGAAAGGCCCAGAATTAATTAACTGTTAATCAGACGAATTTACAATAAAGTTCTTACAAAAATATGATTAAAGGGACAGTAAAGGAAAAATGAAAGGGGGTATAGGCTGAAAGCTAATCACTTTAGCTTTTCATCGAGACCCTTGAGACGCCTATCTGAAGTTCCTAACTCGAGAGTTGATACAAAGCTGTTTCAAACTTGTACGAAAATGCATATATATACAATTTCGTATAGAAATAGTAGGGTTAAACAGACCATGCTCAGAAAAACAGCAACCAATCTGAAAAAGATGATATCCCAGAGAAAGCTAATTGTAATTTAGGTTTACTTTTATATTTGTTGTTTCTNCTTAAATGTTAGTATATCTAGTATCTCTAAATATTAATATTTAGTATCTCTTAAATGTTAGTATATCTAGTATCTCTAAATATTAATATTTAGTATCTCTTAAATGTTAGTATATCTAGTATCTCTAAATATTAATATTTAGTATCTCTTAAATGTTAGTATATCTAGTATCTCTAAATATTAATATTTAGTATCTCTTAAATGTTAGTATATCTAGTATCTCTAAATATTAATATTTAGTATCTCTTAAATGTTAGTATATCTAGTATCTCTAAATATTAATATTTAGTATCTCTTAAATGTTAGTATATCTAGTATCTCTAAATATTAATATTTAGTATCTCTTAAATGTTAGTATATCTAGTATCTCTAAATATTAATATTTAGTATCTCTTAAATGTTAGTATATCTAGTATCTCTAAATATTAATATTTAGTATCTCTTAAATGTTAGTATATCTAGTATCTCTAAATATTAATATTTAGTATCTCTTAAATGTTAGTATATCTAGTATCTCTAAATATTAATATTTAGTATCTCTTAAATGTTAGTATATCTAGTATCTCTAAATATTAATATTTAGTATCTCTTAAATGTTAGTATATCTAGTATCTCTAAATATTAATATTTAGTATCTCTTAAATGTTAGTATATCTAGTATCTCTAAATATTAATATGTACTATCTCTTAAATGTTAGTATATCTAGTATCTCTAAATATTACTATGTAGTATCTCTTAAATGTTAGTATATCTAGTATCTAAATATTAATATTAAAATCTAAGATGTTAGTATTTGGTATTTAAAATTTAGTATATCAAATGTTATTTTTGACTGACTTTGGAATCTGTCAAAGAATCTATTATCTAGTAACTACATGTAAATGACTCACTCACTTCTAGAATCTAGATACCAGTATGATATAGTATACATAGTATTAATTTTGTTTCTCCCATTGTTAGTATCTACCATCTCTAAATGTAAGTATCCTATTTATCTAATAGCTTGAAGTTTATTGTTTATTATCTAGATTTTGGCAGTGTTCACTTGGATCAAAGCTTTGGATCTTACACAGCACAATTTTGAAGTATTATCTGAAGCACCAGTTTTTCTTTTATTTCTTTAACAGATACAAAAACTTTAAAGTAATGTACAGTATGCTATTCGATAAAAAATATTTTTTAAGTAGACCAAATCATGACATTTAGGTTAACATAGGTTAATATTTTTTTAGTTGTTTACTAAAACTGATTTTCTAAAGTGACGATCCTTGACCCCTAATTTAAAACACTCTTTGACATAAAATAAAACATTGAATGTTGTCTTCTACTTAGGGTTGATGAGTTTGATGAGTTTACAAAAATTCCTTTCTTTTCAATAACAATAAATACTTCAAAGTTTAAAACATAATTGGTCAAAGCTGGAATTTGGCTTGGGTCTTCATGGGTTAATTCTTGGTAAATGAAAAGAATTTATATCACCTATTAAACTCAATATTTAGGTTTAGATATTTTTTTAAAGAATCATCTTTCTTTTGATTTAGCTAAAACAACATTTTAAAATAAATGCGATGGAATTTTAGTGTAATTTTGTTTAAAATGGGAGTTTTTATGCTAAACTATGCGAATTTATTAAAACTCAGTTATCCCCCAAATTCAAATTTTTTAATCTCTCTATATCCCTTTGATATTTTAAAGTTATAATATTTGATACAACAGAATTAATTAATAGTTTGAAATATCCAAGGTCTACGACAATGGGTAGCAAAGATATAGGGATTAAGAAATTAAATGTGTGGCAAAAATGTATTTCCTTTGGATAACAGTTATTTAAAAATATTTGAAAACAGATTTTTTCTCAGTATGCCTAAAGCTTACCTTTTATTTTCTAGTGAACAGTCTTCGAGAACTGGAATTCCAACCACGTAATCTGAATATTAATTCGAAATACTCTTATCACTTATTATATACATAAACATCGTTTATAATTAAACACATTTTACATATGTGTTACGATACTGTTCTATGTTGAATTGAGTTCACTGCCTATATAAGTTTAACTACTTTAGTGCGCCAGTATCTTGGCTGGCAGGCAGACTTGGACTAGTCCTATCTTGGCCTATTCAACTGGTCGGAAGGCGGGGGGGGGGAGGATTTTGGGCAGGTCACTTGGGGAGGGGGGAATCTGGGTTGGTAGAAGGTAGCTGATGAAAGGGTTGGGGAGGGGGGGGGACATACCAGGAGGGAATGAAGAATTCAGCGACCGTGGCTCAGACGAGAGAGAGAGAGATGAGGGTTAAATGAAAACCTTGTATTGGTTGCATAAATTATACTTTCCTATGTAGATCCATTATAGTATCCTAGATCCTTTAAAGTATCCTAGATCATTTACAGTATCCTAGATTCTTTATAATATCCTAAATCTTTTACAGTATCCTAGATCCTTACCAGTATCCTAGATACTTTATAGTATCCTAGATCCTTTACAGTATCCTATATACTTTACGGTATCCTAGATCATTCACAGTATCCTAGATCTTTTATAGTATCCTAGATCCTTTATAGTATCCTAGATCCTTTACGTTATCCTAGATCCTTTATAGTATCCTAGATCCTTTACGGTATCCTAGATCCTTTATAGTATCCTAGATCCTTTACAGTATCCTAGATCCTTAACAGTATCCTAGATTCTTTACAGTATCCTAGATCCTTAACAGTATCCTAGATTCTTTACAATATCCTAGATATTTTATAGTATCCTAGATTCTTTATAGTATCCTAGATCCTTTACGGTATCCTAGATCCTTTACGGTATCCTAGATTCTTTACAATATCCTAGATCCTTAACAGTATCCTAGATTCTTTACAGTATCATAGATCCTTTACAGTATCCTAGATCCTTAACATCTATATACTTTGCTTGTCTGGGTTGGTGTTTGTTTGTTTGCATCCATTAAACGTCAAAACGGCAGAACCGATCGGGCCCACATTTTTTGTGGGGCCTCGTGAGACCCCAGGCAAGGTTTATGGATGATCGAATTTTCAAAAATTTGTCTTTATCAAAATTCGATTTTTATAAAATTTAAAAAATCCACGAATTTTTTTTTAAAAATTTGTAAATTTTGTTGTTTTTGTTTTACAATTTATTCAAAGAGAAAATGTTTACATATGAAATTGAAGAAGGGCGCGAAGCACCTTTAAAGCGTAGTTGTATAAAAAGGTCTAAACAATCTTATGTGAACTTAAGATACTTATTTAAGATAAATACTTTTGGATTCTTTTTAAAAACTTCTTTTTAGAAAAACTCGCAGAAAAAGTCTTTGGGAGATATTAAAAATAAAATTCCTATTTGACGACACAGAATTTACCGCTGGACATAGTTTCTATTTAGCAGAAAACTAGCGATGTAATTCCTCTGCCAAAATACCTTCATAAAATAAATCAGAACTGGTGATTTTCTTTATTTCTTAAACAGTTGTGTCTTCATATATATCTTGCAGAGAAAGGGGTATTCACTATTCAGAATGTCCGAGTCATTTCGTCACGATGGATTTTTTGCTTTATTATACATTTTGTCCGTCCAAATACAGTGATAGGCGATTATATCAATACAATGAAGACGACTTTTAATTCAAATTTAAAAATATATCAAGCGTTTAAATAACATGGATACATAAAAACATGGAAACAAAGAGAAGCTGTCAATTTAAATAACTTATCTTCAATTGCATGCAAACTATGCTTAGGAGACGCCATTTCCAGCACAAAAGAGCGCATCGAGAATAATCAACCTTACAACCTTGGATTATACTCATGGAAAGCTTTTGTCTGGTTAATGAGATCTCTGAAGATAAGATCTAAACCTTTAGAAATATTGAAAACTTAATTTAATTGTTGTAATAGTCGCATACCAATTTACCAACTAGTTGTAGGGAGGGGAAA